GTAGTGAAATTTCCTGGTTTTTTATTTGAATTTTTTTGTTTTTGTTTTTAGTTTTCTTTAATTTTCATATGGGCTTCCCTGGTGGCTCAGATGGTAAAGAATCCACCTGCAATGCAGGAGACCTTTGCAGGTTCAGTCCCTGGGTTGGGAAGATCCCCTGGAGGAGGGCATGGCATCCCACTCCAGATTCTGGAGAATCTCCATGGACAGAAGAGCAGGTGGTCTACAGTCCATGGGGTTGCAAAGAGTCAGACGTGACTGAGTGACTAAGAATGGCACAGTTCTCACATGAGATTTTTGCTAGATGCAGCATGATACATTGATAATTTCATTCTTTAAGTACTTGAAAAATACTGCTCACTGTTTTCTGATCCCCATACTTTCTGAAAAAGTCCAGAGTTATTGAATACTTTTCTTCCTGTGTGTAATGTATTTGTTTTTTGTTCGTTTGTTTGTTTTCTGGTTGCTTCTACAATTGCCTCTCTATCTTTGATTTCAGCAGCATATTGGTTATCTATGATTTGCCCTGCAGCAAATCATTTCAAAACTTACCTGTTAAAATGATACAGATTTATTATCACACAGTTTCTATGGATCAGGAACCCAGAATTTGGGCACAGCTTTCTAAGTCTCTCAGTCTTAGAAGATACACTTCAGTCTTCTCAGGTTTGACTGTGAGGAACCTGAACATACTTCACTCATGTGATAGTTGCCACCATTCTGTTCCCTATGAGCTGTTAGCCAGATGTCTTGGTTTCTCGTAAACTATCGACCACAGGCTTCCTTCAGTTCTTTGCCACGTGGTCCTCTCACGTGTCACATGATCCTCTCATAGAACATCTCACAACATGTCAGCTTGTCTCATGAAAGCAAACACGCGGTTGGTGGGGGGTACAGAGAGAGACAGAGAGAGTACTGCCAAGGTCCCCAGGTTTTGTTGCCTCATTGCAGAGGTGACATCCCATAGCTTTTTTGTTTTCTGTCCATCAAAAGCAAGTCCTAAAATTCAGCTCACATTCAAGGGGTGGGATTACACAGAAGAATAAATACTAGGAGGTTTTGGTCATTGGGAACCTTGACGGAAACTGTGTATCATTATCTTGACTGGGTTTGTCAGCTTCTAGAATCTGTAAAAGTATGTTTTCACCAAGTTTGGAAAGTTTGTTGTCATTATGTCTTCACTTATTTTTCCCACCCAAGTCTATCTCTCTTTTTGAAATTCCAATTGCCTATGTGTTAGAACTTTTGGTTTTGTCCCTCAGGTTCCTAAGGCTCTGCTAATTTTTTTTTTGATAATTTTTTCTTCCATTTTCAGATGGGATATTTTCTATTGATCTAACTTGAAATTAGCCGACTCTTTCTCTTCTCATGTTTGTTCTGCTCTTAAGCTCACCCAGTGAATTTTTAAATTTCAGATATTATACTTTTCAGTTCTAAAATTCCCCCCAAAATGTGCAACAGTGCTGCAACCCTTATTAGACTTTCCTTCATTTAATCGTAGCCTCAAAAGATGGAAGTTGTCAGACCTTCCATGACCTCCGGAAAGATTGCCATTTAGAAGATACTCAACAAGTGTTTGCTGATTTGAATTTAATTATAAAAAAGCAAGTGAAAGCAACATCAAGCCATAGAAAGTTCAGGAAGAAAGCAAGACACACAAGGTAACATTATTGACTTGTTTTGGTAAGTCAGGTACACTGGTAAGTGTTATTAGTAGAGTATGAAAAAAGAGTGCACATCTTAACTCATAAACAAAGAAGGCTTTATTAAAAAGAATTCATTTGAATCAGTTCTAATGAGATGGATGAAACTGGAGCCCATTATACAGAGCGAAGTAAGCCAGAAAGATAAAGACCATTACAGTATACTAACACATATATATGGAATTTAGAAAGATGGTAACGATAACCCTATATGCAAAACAGAAAAAGAGACTCCGATGTATAGAACAGACTTGTGGACTCTGGGAGAAGGCGAGGGTGGGATGTTTCAAGAGAACAGCATCGAAACACGTATATTATCTAGGGTGAAACAGATCACCAGCCCAGGTTGGGTGCATGAGACAAGTGCTCGGGCCTGGTGCACTGGGAAGACCCAGAGGGATCGGGTGGAGAGGGAGGTGGGAGGGGGGACCGGGATGGGGAATACATGTAAAACCATGGCTAATTCATTTCAATGTATGACAAAACCCACTACAATGATGTAAAGTAATTAGCCTCCAACTAATAAAAATAAATGAAAAAAAAAAAAAAAAACAAAGAAGGCTTTAAATCTGTGTGGCGGACAGATTGTAAGGTTACTCAGCAACTTCTGTCTCCACTCACAGCTTTGTGTCATCCCTTCCCCTTGAGTGTAGACAGTACTTATGACTTGCTTCTAACAAATAAAATATGACAGTGGTCACGGGATGCTACACCTGTGACTACTCCTATAACTATGCTAGCAGGCTCACTTTACAGGCTCTTTTTGCTGGCTTGATGAAGTAAATGGCAATGTTGGGGAAACCTACTTTCCCCAACCAGCTGGTACTAACCTCCAGCTAGTAAGAATCTGAGCTTTTAGTCTTAGAGCCACAACACACTGCATTCTTTTTTTTTTTAAGGTTTACTTTTATTTATTTGTCTGCACTGGATCTTAGTTGCAGCATGTAACTTTAGTTGCAGCATGCAAAGTCTTAGTCACAGCATGTGGCGTCTTAGTTCCCAGACCAGGGATTGAACCCACAACCTCAGCATTGGGAGTGAGAAGTGTTAGCCACTGGACACAAAGAAAGTCCTCACAATGCCCTGAATTCTGCCAGTAGTTCCAATGAGCTTTAAAGCAGATTTTCCCTGAATTGAGCTTCCTGTTGAGAACAAAGCCCAGCTAATACCTTGATTGCTGCCTTGCAAAGGACCCAGCTAAGTCATTTATAAACTCCTATAAGCTGCTCAGTTTGTGGTAATCTATTAGGTAGCAATAGAAAATGAACACTGCATTGTTACAGAGTTTTGCTACTTTTTATTTTGTTGATGTTGAGTTTCCTAAGGAATTTTCATACTTAATATGCTGCTTGAGTCTTCAAAAATGAAATATTTTGAAAGCAGAATTTTTATAGTGTAATTGCAGCAATGATAGAACTCTGGGGAACCCCACAAGAAAAGCTTTTTTTTTTTTTTTTTTAAAGATCTGGTGCCAGAAATTCCACTCTTGAGAATTTGTCCATAGAAACAAATGTTTAATAGCTATTGGTAAGTTACTCTCCAAAAAGACTACTATATTTCACATTTCCACACCAGTATGTAAGTATTCTTTTTCCTATGTCCCTGTAATGAATTATTCCTATAAATCTCTTTTAGTTTGCTAGGGCTGTCATAACAAAGTACCAGAGACTGGAGGGCTTACCAACTGACATTTATTTTCTTACATTTCTGGAGATTAGAAGTCTGAGATCAAGTTCTCGACAGGACTGCCCTCTTCTGAGGTCTCTCTGCTTGGCGGGTGGAGGACTGTCTTCCTCTGTGTCTTCACATGGTCTTTACTCTGTGTGTTTATATCCAAGTTTCCCCTTCATATAAGGATACCAGTTACACTGGATTAGGGCCACTCCAGTGACCTTATTTTAACCAAATTATCCCTTTAATAAAGACCCTATCTCCAAATGTAGGCTCATTCTGAGATATTGAAGGTTGGGACTTCCACACATGAATTTGGGGAGGTGACAGTTTAGTCCACTCAGCTTAAACAGCACTTCTTCAGGGAAGCATTTCCTGATTCTGAGAGAGGTTTACATCTGTCTATCGTCAAGCTGACTTCAGAAAAGGCAGAGGAACCAGAGATCAAATTGCCAACATCCGCTGCATCATCAAACAAGCGAGAGAGTTCCAGAAAAACACCTATTTCTGCTTTATTGACTGTGCCAAAGCCTTCGACTGTGTGGATCACAATAAACTGTGGAGAATTCTGAAAGATGGAAATACCAGACCACCTGACCTGCCTCTTGAGAAACCTGTATGCAGGTCAGGAAGCAACAGTTAGAACTGGACATGGAACAACAGACTGGTTCCCAATAGGAAAAGGAGTACGTCAAGGCTATATACTGTCACCCTGCTTATTTAACTTATATGCAGAGTACATCATGAGACACCCTGGGCTGGAAGAAGCACAAGCTGGAATCAAGATTGTCGGGAGAAATGTCAATAACCTCAGATATGCAGATGACACCACCCTTACGGCAGAAAGTGAAGATGAACTAAAAAACCTCTTGATGAAAGTGAAAGAGGAGAGTGAAAAACTTGGCTTAAAGCTTAACATTCAGAAAACTAAGATCATGGCATCTGGTCCCATCACTTCATGGGAAATAGATGGGGAGACAGCGGAAACAGTGTCAAACTTTAATTTTGGGGGCTCCAAAATCACTGCAGATGGTGACTGCAGCCATGAAATTAAAAGATGCTTACTCCTTGGAAGGAAAGTTATGACCAACTTAGATAGCATATTAAAAAGCAGAGACATTACTTTGCCAACAAAGGTCCATCTGATCAAGGCTATGGTTTTTCCAGTGGTCATGTATGGATGTAAAAGTTGGACTGTAAAGAAAGCTAAGCACCGAAAAATTGATGGTTTTGAACTATGGTGTTGGAGAAGACTCTTGAAAGTCCCTTGGACTGCAAGGAGATCCAACCGGTCCATCCTAAAGGAGATCAGTCCTGAGTGTTCATTGGAAGGACTGATGCTGAAGCTGAAACTCCAGTACTTTGGCCACCTCATGCAAAGAGTTGACTCATTGGAAAAGACCCTTATGCTGGGAGGGATTGGGGGCAGGAGGAGAAGGGGCCGACAGAGGATGAGATGGTTGGATGGCATCACTGACTCGATGGACATGGGTTTGAGTAAACTCTGGGAATTGGTGATGGACAGGGAGGACTGGCGTGCTGCGATTCATGGGGTCTCAAAGAGTTGGACATGAATGAGCGACTGAACTGAACTGAACTGATCTAGCTATCTATACGGCTTCCTAGATGGCGCTAGTGGTCAAGAACCTACCTGCCAATGCAGGCGACGTAAGAGATGTGGTTTTGACACTGGGTTGGGAAGATCCCCTGGAGGAGGGCATGGCAACTCACTTTAGTATTTTTGCCTGGAGAATCCCATGGACAGAGGAGCCTGGTGGTCTACAGTTCATGGGATCACAAAGAGTGGGACGTGACAGAAGCGACTTAGCATGCATTTGTGGGTGTGTGTATATATTCCTAGACTTCCTCATTCTTCCCAGGGTCGGGAAGATCTCCTGGAGAAGGAAACGGCAAGCCACTCCAATATTCTTGCCTGGAAAATCTCATGGATGGAGAAGGCTGGTAGGCCACAGTCCATGGGGTCGCAAAGAGTCGGACACGACTGAGCGACTTCACTTCACTTCACTTCACTTCATACTTTCTCATGACATATCACACTTGTAATATTATCTTATTTTTGTAAAACAAACCATTATATCCTCCCTTATATAAATGCTTGTATATTTGTGTGTAACCGTATGAAAATGAAGAAAGGTATAGAAAGATACAATTTAGACTGGTAACATTGGTTACATGGGGACTGAGAGGGATGATCCAGTAAGAAGAGTGGGAGTGCAAGCAAGCAAACAGACAAAACCCCAAATCAACAACAAGAACCTGAAAAAATATGATGTCCATGTATGCATGGATAATATTATACAATTTATTATTAAAATTGTTTTCATTGCCTATCCCCTGTTGTATGAACAAAGAATTGCAAACTCTTATTGACACTGGGCAATAGCCATTCATTTACCTTTCTTATCTGTGACTTGATTGGGCTGGCAGGAAAGGCAGTACTCAGTGTGGCTCTCTCTGAGTTAATCATTCTGATCTAATCTACAAATGTAAATATATACTTAGAGTTACACATTTTTATGTGTACATAAAGGGTTTTATGAAAGGATAGACCCCAAGTTAATAGGATTTTTGTGAACAGGGTAGATTTTGAAATTGTTTTTACTTTTTGTCCTTTTTACTTACATGTTGTTTAAGTTTTTGCCCCATATACTGTTGCTTTGTATAACCTTATAATAACAATAAGATTATTGAGAGTGTAGCATTGAAACATATACGTTACCATATGTAAACTTAGACAGTCAGTGGAAATTTGCTGTATGATGCAGGGAGCTAAAATCAGGCACTCTGTGACAACCTAGAGGGGTGGGAAGTGTTGGGAGGTGGGAGGGAGGCTCTGGAGGGAAGGGACATGCATGTGCCTGTGGCTGATTCATGTTGATGTATGGCGGAAACCAATACGATATTGTAAAGCAATTATCCTCCAATTGAAAATAAACTCTAAAAAAGAAGATATTTTATTGAAGAGTAAAACTAATTTTTTTTCAGTTGAGGGGCTGGTGAGGAGACAGAAGGACAGTGTAAGCAGAGAAGGCCCTCCGAATTCAGGCCAGCTTGACACACAGCCTTGAATTATAAATAACTTAAGCAAAATATTTTCTGTCATCATGCAAAACCACTGAGTTGAGTCATGTGGATACTCAGCTATAACTTGATATATTATCATTCTAACTTAACTTAATGATTATTTTATTCCCTTGTAGCTCAGTTGGTAAAGAATCTGCCGGCAATGCAGGAGACCCAGGTTCGTTTCTGGGTAGGAATGATCCACTGGAGAAGGAAATGGCAACCCACGCCAGTATTTTTGCCTGGAGAATCCCATGGACAGAGGAGCCTAGCAGACTACAGCCCATGAGCTCGCAAAAGTTGAACTTATTGAGTGGTTTAGTTTAGTGACTAAACCACCACCACCGTGAAGAAAATACACTCAGGCAGTGGATCCCCAGAATCTAACAGATCTCTAATCCCTCAGAAAGTTTTTCAAATTATATAAATTTCAAAGCCTTCTTGCTAACTCAAGTTCATGACATGGAGCTTAGAAATCAGCACTTTCAGCAAGCTCCCAACTAATTCTAATGGTTACCACATTTGGAAACCCTTGGATAAAGCTAGTTTTATAGAGGTTTTCCTGCATTCCCTCATTCACACAGGTGGAAAAATCAAGGAAGAAATTAATGTCCAGAATTTGGGAGGATAGGGAAGATGGAAAAGGTTGAGAGTGCTTGGATATGCAAGAAGGGAACTCCATGAGAGAGAACGGGAGAGGAAAACCAAGGAAGACACAGCCCCTCTAACGAGATTGTCAAACTTGTCTCAATGTGGGGAGCAAAACCAAACCGATGGACATTTAACAGTCTGGACCAGTTTTCAAAATTTCTCTGTTTTACAGACCAAAGAATTTGAAATTTGCAGCCATGAAGTAATATTCTTCTCATATTTCACATGGGTAAAATGTGCTGAGAAAAGTAAACTTAAACTAAAAGTGCCAAAATATGTATCTCTTGTCCTCTTGCACTTCTTAAGGGCTGGAAAATTCCATTTCTACCCATTTCATCTTAAACATCTCACTTGCTCCATTTTGGATGGAGTCTTAAACTCCAGGCTCTAAAGGATAAACACAAAGTCCTGTCAGGTACAAGGCATCCCAAGTTTTAGCCACAAATTTGACCAATTTGTCCCTAGTGTCAATAATTGAGTGCCAAGAAGAAAGTGCAGAGCAAATAAAAAGTGTGATTAGAATTACAACTGAAAACACAAGTTACCAAACTCAGATTAGAGTGTGGTTCTATTGAAATGTGCTGACTCTGGTCTGGGGGAATGCCACTGTGCTGCAGCTGGACCCAGGGAGTTCCAACACCGCCCCGTCTCTCCATCAACCTTTCCATCCGTTATTATTCCCTGACAGCATGACATTCAGCATTCTAGTAAAGACCATAATGTCTTTAAAAGGAAACAAAAGTGAAACAAAACTTCCAGTTCTGCTGGAGACACTCTGTAAAATACTCAAGGTAAAATGCTACCTTCCCTTATCAAGGGGCAGAAACTTAACCACATGAATATCACTTGTCTTTAGGTTGTATTGGGGCTTCCCTTGTGGCTCAGCTGGTAAAGAATCCGCCTGCAAAGCAGGAGACCTGGGTTTGATCCCTGGGTTGGGAAGATCCCCTGGAGAAGGGAAAGGCTACCCACTCCAGTATTCTGGCCTAGAGAATTCCATGGACTATAGAGTTGGGCATGACTGAGTGACTTTCACTTAGGTTGTATTGAGTGTATTTTTGTAGACCAAATTGACTCAGTTTTGTAAAAAAACAGCTACAGACTTCCAATTTGAAGTAGTGAAGTACTTTTAAAATCCTTTAAATTTATTTGAAGTGAAATTAAACACAGGACTCAAATTCAGTAAATTTGTGCAATTTGTTTTCAGATTTCAATTGTTTCTGTTTTGTTTCAGTGTCAGGCCAGGCTGCCACAATTAAAACAGTCTTAGAAATAAAAGGATAAAGCCAGTTAAATAAATGTTTTTGTGTTATATTTGGTCTCACTGAGAGAAGAATTTTTTTCTTCTGATAAAGTAAGAGCAGGTTGTAAAGTACCATATCGATGATGCTTAAGATGTTACTTATGAACATGCTTGAAAAGATGTTACCACAATCTATTATCTGAGGCTTTGAAATGGTGGTGGGAAAAGGAAGCAGAACACTTTAGGTGATTATCTTAACAATATGTTAAACTATATTCTTATTCCTGTTTCCAAGATAGTAACCTAGAAAGAGAAAAGAAGGAAAGAAAAAATTCAGCCAAATAACTATTTGGGAATGTTTGACAACTGAGTTAGATGACAACATCCCTCCCATTGCTCTTCCTAAATTCAAGTCCTCAAATACATCTTGTTTCTCGAAAAAAACACAAAGTTTATTTTGCCTTAAGGGAATTCCAAGTTTATTTTTTAAACATTGAGAACTTAACCAAAACTCTGACCAAAGTAGCAGAACAATTCAGATAGTTTTCATTATTTTAAAGGGACCAGTGAGAGTATCAGGATGTGAATGCCTGTCCCTCCAAAATACCTAATGTGATGGTATTTGGAGGTGGGGTCTCTGAGAGGTAATTGGTTTTAGATGGTGTGTGTTCAGTCACTTCAGTCGTGTCCGACTCTTTGCGACCCTGTGGACTGTAGCCCGCCAAGCTCCTCTGTCCATGGGATTCTCCCAGCAAGAATACTAGAGTGGGTTGCTATGCCCTTCTCCAGGGGATCTTCCCGACACAGGGATGGAACCTGCGTCTCCTACGTCTCCTGCATTGGCAGGCGGGTTCTTTACCACTAGAGCCACGTGATTTTAGATTAGATCATGCAAAATCTAGTGTGGTGGGATTAGTGTCTTTATAAGAAGAGGGAGAGACACTAGAGTTCTTTTTCTCTCCACCATCAGAGCAAGAAGATAGCCATCTACAAGCAGGAAGAGGGTCCTCACCAGTCATGAATCTGCCAGCACCTTGATCTTGGACTTCCCAGCCTCTGGAACTCTGATAAAAAAAAAATGTCTGTTGTTTAAGCCACCAAGTAAGTCCATGGTATTTGGTTATAACAGCCTGAGCTGATTAATACAGATAGATTCAAGAGAGTAGTAGTCATGGGATGTACAAGACAATCTTAAAAGTACATGATGGGACAGGTAGCCAGAGCATAAGAGAAATAAAGGTAGAAATGGTACAAGTTGATCAGCTGGTCTTGTGAAAACCAGACTTAGAAGGAATGTATAAAACTTTTACTTCCAATCATCACTACAATAATTGTTTTTGAATTTCCACCTACAATAAGAAAACCAGACCAAACACATGTTTTTAAGATATTTCCTTATTTTTGGTTTTCAGTAGTTTGACCCTGATCTTCTAACTAGCTGTGGTTTTCACTGTATTTATCCTGATGAGGTTTGCTGAGTTTACTGGATCTGCAAGTTGATATTTTCCACCAAATTTGGGAAATTTTCAGCTATTATTCATCAAATATTTTTCCTATCCCATACTCTCTCTTCTCTTATTCTGGGATGCCAAGTATATTGTCCCATAGGTTTTTGAAATGGTTCGATCTTTTTTACTATTTGTTTTTCATATTGGATAATTTCTTTTAATCTTTTTAGAGTTTACTGATTCTTTCTTCTGCCATCTCAGATGTGACGTTGAATCCATCTAGTAAACTTTCCATTTCTATTATTCTATTCTTTATTTGTTCTTTAAAAGAATAATTCCACATGTCTGTTGAGGTTCTCTATCTGTTCACACATCAAGACCACATTTTCCTTTAACTATTTGAACACATATTATTTTGATTCTTTACAGTATTTGCTTTGATACCTTTGATTTTTATATATAACATTCAGGCCCACTTGGGGTCATTGTCTTAGTGACTTCTGAGTGGGTCCTGCTTTCCTGTTTCTTTGTACAGCTAGTAATTTTTGGCTGAAAACTGAATATTATAGATAATACATAGTAGCAACACTACTCTTTTTGTTTATTTTATGTTTTTATTTATTTTATGTTTTTATTTA